ATAGAATTGCTATTTTCAGATATAAATTGAAAGAAAATATTTATTGAAAAATCTTTATGTGATGCTTTTCAACTACAACCTTTCCTCCTATACTTGTTAGTTTGGCTTATTATTATTATTAATTATTATTATTATTAATTCTCGCTTCACATAAATGTACCATCAGGGTTCATTTATTCATGCAGTTTTAAGGTAATCCCAAGGGAAGCAAGTGATCAGCACTATTATCAAAATCACTTTGCCTATTCAACACAAACCAATACGTATGTATCTCAAAGTTATATATGCGTGTTTATGTATGTGTATAGAAACATGTACACAGAGTACTATATTAAATTTTGCTTAAGGAAAGTATATTTTACTTGCTTGCTCTTTAAGAAGATAATGTGGAACAAAATTTGCTTCCTTTCACCTCAAAGTATCTTAATGTGTATTGAAAAAATATTCTAAGAAATGACATGCCAAATTACTTTAGTACCCAAATAAACCTAGAGACCAAATTCAAAGAAACATTTATATGTACATATGTCACATATTTAAGTTTTATAAACACACAGATATACACATAGCAAAGTCACTTCCTGTTAAGACTAATCTTCATCACCTAATTATTACAGAGAATTATTAAAGAAAAAAAATCCATATACTTTTCAAAAGTGCTCATTGGGTTTATTCCAAATCTCTTGTAGATGTTATATTTACTAATATAAGTGGGTTATTTCTGTTGCCTAGAGGTTAAGGGTGTAAAGCCAGGCTTATATAACTCATCAGTTAATATCAATGCTCAAACTTTCACGTTTTAAGTTTCTTACACTGAAGTAAAATATCCAAATTTAAGACGCTCCTTGATCAAAATCCCAAACATTCCTACTGTCCTTTTTATCAACATATTAGTACACAAAGTAAACTTCAGCATAAATTATCCATAAAATTTCTATTGGCATATCTCACATTCTGTAGCAGATAAACCACAAAATAATCCAACTATCTAGTCTGGTTATAGGATCACAGGAATCAGTGATTTAGAATTGGAAGAGGGCCTTAGAGGTGAAGTCCAGCCTCCTCATTTCATAGATGAGGAAACTGAGGACCAGAGGATAAGTGATTTGCCTAGGGTCTCAAAGTTGTAATTTGGCAGCTAGATGGCGCACTGGATAGAGTGCTGGGCTTAAGAAAAGTCAGCAAAATATACTCATCTTGGTGACTTCAAATCTGCTCTCACTTACTAGCTATGTGACAGCACAACAACAACAAATTTAAATTATATTATCAATTATAAGTATGTCACTAAATCATACAAGAATATTATGGGAAGAAATTTCAATGAAATCTATTAATTTTTATAATCAAGTCTTAATATTTCCATCCTAAAGGTACCCAATCTTAATGTATTTAGATATCTCAATGACAGAAAGAAGCTTTGTCAGGGAAATTTTGCTAGGAAAAAAAAATTTCCCCAACTCCTATAAAATATATGGACACTCTCTGTTTTCAAACGAAGGAACAGTAGACTACAAAGGAACAATGAAAATATACTTTTATATTAGACTATGTATGTACACTATAATTCTCTCAATATCTTAATAACTACAATATAAAAAGAACCAAAACCAAACAAAAGCAGTCTTTCAACATATGCCATCTTACTATATGACTGAATTTTACAGAATAAATTAATCCCCAAAGGCACAGAAGTAACCAATCCCAAGAGAAGAGACTGTACAGGTGTCAAGAAAAACAGGAAGCAAGGAAGGAAGGAGAGAGGGAAGGAAGAGAGAAGGAAGATGGGAACTAAAGAAGAGAGAAAGGAAGTAAAGTAGGAAGGAGAGAAGAAAAATCATTTTAAATTTTACTTATTACCTACTAGTAAAGTTTCTATTAAGAATGACATTAAATAGTGGTTTAAAAAAGAATCCTTCTCCTTTTCCCTAACACATTTTCCCTTACAAAACCTCAAACTGAATTTTCTGACATCTATACAGCACTATGTTAATAGGCAAGATAGACACAGATTTTCATCACTCAAGCTTATCACTATTCTCCCTCTTCCCTCTCATAAAGTCAAGAATCCAGTAGTCAACAGAAGTGCAACCAAGCCAATAGACTCGCCTTCTTCCCTCTCACTAGAATCCTAAACTGCACATTGACTCCAAAGCTGATCTTTTCCTTATATGTTTCCTCCTATTAATTCAGCCTTTTAAAAGCAGTCAATATTTTATAATTACAATCTTAAGAATGCTGCAAAACAAAAACAAATCAAAAAAAAGTTAATCCGAAACAATCTAGTTCTCTTTCACCTCTTTACAACAGTTTCAACATCAAAAGCAAAAATATTCTGAAAAGCCAGTCGTAAGTCAATGTCTTCATATCAATGTAATGATTATGCTCTATGTGGACTTTCCACATTTAAAAATAGATTAATTTGGAACCTTTTAACTCATTTTTCTTATGTTGAACTGGGCAGTATGAACTCGGAGAATTTTTATTGTTTGCCTATCAATATGCCTGACTATAAGGCTTAATTAAGCAAGGTGCTTCATCTTTACATTACAGTATTAATGCCAAGTACATACTTTTGATCACTCAATGCTTTAGACACAAATTTGAAAGAATTTCTAGTAATGTAGCATATAGCTAAAATGCTTATTACACAGAAAAAAGCAATGTCAAAAGGGACTTAAAATTGAACAAGTAGGGTTTTTTCTTTACGTCTTTTCATATTTGCAATGAAAACATTAGGGATAAGTATATTAACATATATATTAACATATATTAACACAAAGAGAGAGTTAATAACCACAATATCTAGCTGGCATCTCAAAAATAATTTAAAATTGTTCTCAAAGGATATGGTCAAGACTAATGTTTAGCTAGAACCCAACAATATAAAGGCACAGTAGAAAAGCAACCATTTTGAGTCATATCAATGTTGCTCATTTGAAAACAATAGATTGATTCAATCTGAATCAAAGAAACATTGAAACTGAAAAGAAACATTGTTTCAATTTATTTGAGTGAATTTCTCTTCTGGGTAATTCTAGTTCCCCAATTCCAACTAAGTTAATACCATAATGTATAAAATTTCCAAAGAAAAGTTACCAAAGGAAGTTGCCCAACCCATCATCAGTTTAATTTGAAACACTGAACACAAGTAAACAAAAATAATCACATCAAGTATATTCATAGAAGACTGAAAGCTAACAGGGTCCTTGGAAAGGACCTGGTCCAACTCCCTCCTTTCACACTGGAGTAAACTGACTGAAGGAATGCCCCCGATCACTGAAAGAACAAGACAGCAATACTCCCTTTTCTCAGCTCTCAGGGTTGTGATGACAATCCATTAAGAATTATATTGCTAGAGAGTTACAAAGGGTTACGAATTTGGGAGGAGTTATTCTCAGTCATTTAAGGGGAAGTGTGTTCACTTAAAACCTTTTTTTGTATACGTCTCCTGTGTTCACACTGAATGCAAAAGGATGTATCTTATTTCATGTATTTAATATGTGGGCAACGAAAATGAAAACAAGATGATAGGGCTTATCATTAAGAGCACAAAATGCTCTGATAATCCTCAAGTGTTTCACAAAACACAGCATTCTCCATGGCATGGTTATGTATTTTATAAAGCAATCTAACAGTGTTTTGCTGTTCAACTTGGAAATTAATGGAGGTGCTATTATTCAAAGAGTCAAACATATACAATCACAGCTTACTGCCCCAAAGTCCTAGATGTACATAAGGATGGTAAAAGATGTCTTTAAATGCAAAACACAAATGCTTACTCCCTAATATGACAGCATAATGTCCCTTATCAAACACACTTTATGAAAGATAATGATTGATTATAAATGGTTTGCTTCCAAATAAGAAATAAATAACTTAAACAAAATATAATTGGAAGGTCTTAAATAACACACAGAAATGTTCAGTTTTGTTTACTTAACTAAACAATGGTCAAATCTTTTAGAAATCTACAAAATTCTCTATCTAGCTTATTTAACTAACAAAAATGTTTCCACTATAGAAATGTGGAAAGATCTAACCAGTTTAAAATGTGGTCGAAACAAAATAGTGAACCAGATATAAAATCCTCAACAAGAAGTAAATGAGAATGCTAAACAATGTTAATATTTAAGGAGAAATATGATACAGTATCATATGTAAAGAAAACTGAGTCAACATTATTCTGAACATCTTCTCCTACTGTCAAAAGACTATGACCCACAATCTTTCTCCACCAAACCTAAATGTGTTAAAAATCAAAGCCTTTTGTTTCTTTGTTTTGGGTTGAAGATCTGATTGCTTTCGGGGGAGTTTCCTATCAAAATATAGAAAATAGGGTTGCATATTAAATCCGGGATCAAGAAAGCTTTGAATGACCTGACAATGGACACAGTAAACCAAGCAAGTGACATTCTGAGAACACAAGCTCCACAAAATCTGTGTTCAAGTGTAAATTTCAGAATTTTCAGTAATAATGACAAGTCCCCTAAGAGACTGATAAGCAGAGGCTTCTCATTTAATTTACATCCTGAGTTCTTCGGGCAAGATCCATGTCTCGTTCAGTATTCTGTACCGTGCCTACCATATACTGCTGAAATTCAATAAATGTCAAAAACAAAAACACAAGTTCTGCTACAAGTACTCTGGCTAACCAGCAGGACTCACTGTTGATCGTTCTAATTTTAAAATCTTCAGTCCTTTCATGGTGCTAAGCAGAAAATGGTATTCATAAATATGCAAGTATAGAAGCTTGATATTTTCATTAGCATGTTATGCAAAAGTACGTTTACATTGTTATGGAATTATACATCCAGCCAATTCAGCACGCACTATAATGAAGACACTTTGATTTGAGCAAAAGTGATGATCCTCTGCCCTTATGTCACACTTGAGGGAACACGTGAGTTTTTTAAAGACAACGAACACACTGAAAAAAAACCCACAGCAAATAGTCTTAGACCCGCCCTTTTAAAAGAAAATATTTGCATGTCTCTTACCTTGAATATCCATTAGAAAAAACGGATCTATTAGTGAAATTTAGAGTTCCCAAGGAAGTCAAGTTGTCATCTCCAGATCCCTGGCACCTATTCCAATTTTCTGAACCAACAGGAATGGGTGGAATGACATTAAATACAGGCTTGTGATCCTGCTGCTGAGAAACAGACGAAGTATTCAAGTCGTAGTGGTACATCTGTCCCCCAGAGGTACTCACACCATGAACAGAAATGGCAGACATCTTGTTACCAATTATATTTGCCCCAGAAAAACTTCCTTGACAGTAAACTGGGCCCAGTTTCTCCTGTTTAATTACCCCAGGAGTACAAAGTTCAATAAAATCTTCCTTTTCTGTTTTCACTTGAGGCAATGGCATATTAGAACTGGGCAAAATCAGACCCCCCTGCTCAGTAATTTTAGGCTTAGTGTCCGGCAAAATAAGAGGCTTGCAGTCTTCATCTGCATTTCCTTCTAAAAGAAATGACTCATCTGTTGCCAAAGGAGAAAGCAAACAGTTTTCATCTAGCAAGGGGTCTAATCTCCAAGGGCTCTCATTTGCCTCCTTACTTGGGGACCCAGAGGGCAATTCCAAATCCTGTAAAATATCAAAGGTGCTTTGGTCTTCAGTATACAGTTTTGTACTGCCGTCATTAGTGCCAGTCGGGCCCTTTTTTAAAGTTGGCTTTTCTAAAGTTTTATCGAAATTAGATGTTGTTGGAAATTCATTGTCTGTAGCAGAAGATGCTGAACTCTTGGGGCTTTTGGACACCCTGGATGACTTACTGAGGCTGGCGATGCTTTCTTCAAGAAGCCTAAAATCTGTTTCACCAGAAGAAACACCAATTTGGCCCTGCTGAGGAAATACTAGATCATTTCCCATCACTTTTGAATCTGTATCACCCATGTAGAGTCCCATTGATAGTGAGACCGCCTTGGACAGGTCTGGCTGCTGTGCACTGCTTGCTGATACTTTAGAATAGTCACCCAAAAGAGGCTGCTGCTTAGAGTCTGACTGAGAAGCAGCAGCCACTGAGGATGAAGACGCAGGAATCTTCACAGTAGCTCCACCCCTTATGGTTTTATAATAGTCCATTACATTTCCTCTGCTTCGACCATGTATACTTTTGGTGGTTTCTTCTCCAAGAGAGGTACTTAACGATTCTTTTGAGTCCATCAGTTAATTCCAGCTAGAAAAAGAACATATACACCATAACTAAATAAGCCACAAATACATTCACATCAGCATTTCAGTGATAGGATTAGGTTCATAATATTACAGAAGCTCAACACGTATGGGTTCTACTAATCGTACTTCCCATCACCAGAAGAGTAGTTTCTCTCTTTCCAGAGTCATAACACCCTTTCCTCTGCTTCATTAAATGTAGCATTCTATACACTGCAGATCACTTGCAAACCTAACAGCAAAATTACGAGATGATGCTTTGCTACTCATTTGGCCACTGTTGTAAAAATATAATGCACAATGATGCATATGATTAATAAAGTTTAAAATGATTGTTTTAGAAGTTTATTAGATTATACGTCATTGTGTTACGAAAGGTGGGGAAATAACTAAAACGTACCACTTTTTAATCAAGAGAGCAACAGCAAATACTGTACCAGAATCCTGCTAGTTACTCCCTAAATTTCCCAACTCCAGCTCACCATTCATCTATACCTACTACCTATCATACTACTACTTACAAGTAAACCCTCTACTCCATTTGAATAAACCAACACTGCCAGTTTGCTAGTATCCTAGATAAGGAAGATGTTCCCATTTTAAACTCCATCATTCTGGCTGGGTGGTAAAGTGAACTAATTCAGGACTCAGTCTTGGATATTCACAATGAAAAACAAGCCTGACTTAACATAAGCTAATGACAGTTTAAATTTCAAGGGACAAACTGGAACTTTAGTGTTTCTAACAAAAATCTGGACTGATTTGAAATGCAAATATAGAGTTACCATTGATTCATATTGATAGCATAGGATACTGTCAACATATGCTACATTATATACCTATATGTACAGTTGTCCGTAACCATCAGTACACCTTATTCTTAGCTGACTGCATTTTCCCCCCCTTTGAAACAGAGTACTGAAAAGAGAAATAAAATCATGAAAGAAAAACATAACATCCAGACAATCTGATTGGGACTGAAGAGCCATTAAAAAAAATCCACAATAAATAATACTCATTGGATTCTAAACCTTCACCCATCCCATTTAAAAAAAAAAGTCCCATTTGGTTGTCTACGAAGATTTTAATAGAAAACTATGCCTTCAGTAAGAGGACAAAATTTAGAATACATTTAATAATAAAAATGATCTGAAATGCTCGAAAAGGCTAACATGAATATTTAGTACGATCTAACCCAGTTCAATAGGAGAAAACTTTCCCGTAGTAAGAAGTTAAAAATCATAAACGTGATCGTTGGCTTCGAAGTAAGGCCGCTGGGGAGTAGGTATGGGAGAGGGGCTGAAAGTGGGTGGAGTAGGGTGCTGCAGATAACAAATCTTTAGTGCATATGGTTTACCTTCCTTGTCCCTCAGCTACGTTGACTTGATAATGATCTCTAAACACATACAAGGTATCAAATGGAGTCTAATGAATTTCCACGGGCTTTCCTGACAGCTGCCTTCAAACCCGAAACCAAAACAATACCCAGCTCGGAGGAAGGAGGGTGGGGGTGGGGGAGAAACGACAAAACGGTCCCTCAAGCAACACTCTTCCTAGTTTAAAATTGCAAATGATTCTGCAACATTAACTGGCCATTACGAACAATGCCTAAATGTCTAAAGCGGCACCACAGAACGTCAATTAGCACGTTTACAACCAAAATACGAACATCAAAACCACAGTCCGTCAAAAACCTTTGGCCGCACAATAACTAAAGGAAGGGTCGGTTTTCGAGGGTCGGTAACATCCCTGTTAACTGTAGGAGAAAAAAAAAGGGAGGGTGGAGAGAATCATTATCTAATTGGAAGGAAGAAACCCCCACAAAAGCGCGAAGTGTCTAGAAATGTGTCGAGACCTGTTGAGCTCTTTCTCCGACACGCCCACTTCTGCAAGATAACACCAGCCCCTTAGAGAAGTCTACAACTTCCAGGCTGTCAGCCCCTTTCGTCCCCGAAAAAAAAAAAATCCACCCATGCAGAGAACTTAAAAGGCAGACACGTCGTAGCCTCGACGGAAATTTTAATCAATCCTAGGCAACAGTGAACATTTTCGGGAGAGAAAAGAGTTAAGGCACTATTTCGGTTTTTTTTCCGCGTTTAGAATAAAAATAGATATCAACCCTCAGGGAAGAAAAATAAGGGGTGGCGGGGAGAGGAAAAAAAAAGTATTGCGGCTTTCCTAGTACGGTATTAACTCAACCTGGAGGCTTGGGGCCCCCGACTTCCCCGCCTGGGAGCTTGGAGCCCTCGCAGAGGGGCATTATTTCAGCCTCCTGGTCCGAAAGTACAAGCTCAGCTTTCTCCCCGTCCACCCTACGCACCCGGGCATGGCAGGGGGGTGGCGAGGGGGAGGGATGAAGCACTGTCACCCTTTTTCTGTCCTTTCGTCACTGTCAAATCTCCCTACTCAACCCCTCCCCACCCCGTTAATAAAAGTTTGCAAGATTCAAAGCCGCCCCTAGGACTCCGTGCCTTGCCAAGAAAGACTCTCAGGGCTTTGGGAGGAGGGGGGCAGAAGCACCCGTAACCCCCCTCCCCTTTCCTCCATCTGTCTCTTACCTCATCCAAGGGTCGGGTTCTCCCGCCACCTTCCACAGCTCCCACCACTGTCGAAATAAACAACTTAGCGTGTGAAAGAAGGAGGAAAAAATGTTTTTCTAAAAAAAGGAAGTAAACAGCCGCCCCCTTTTCCATGGGGGGAAAAGGGGGAGAACCCCTATGTAAAAAGTCTTGCCCCTTTCCCGCACCGCCAAGAACTGTCCTCGGCCCGTCTTCGGGTCTTCTGGACTGTTGTTTATTGGTACATTTCTTTTCCCCGGAGCCCTCCCACTCCTCTTCTCCTTCTTACACCCACTTTGAGCCGTCCCCGACAGGCGGGCGGTGACTCGGGGTCTAGTCACAGACAGCTAGCAAAATGGAGGAGGAGGAGGAGGACTAAGAGGAGGAGGAGGAGAAGGGGAGGGAGGACACGGGAAAGGGCTGCCTGGTTGTGGAGAGAGGGAGAGCTAGACCGAGCTGGGGGCGGGGGGGGAGGGAGGAGGCGGCGCCACATCCACATACACACACGCACATGCACACACGCACACACACACTCACATATTTCGCCGCTCCCAGCAAGTATGAAGCCTCTGGGGCAGCAGCAGGCGGGGAACGATGCAACCTGTTGGTGATTGTGAGCAACTGCAATCGCACGCTCAGCTCCCCAAGCCCCTCGAACGCACTCCAGCCCGCCAGCCGCCGCCTCCTCTTTCTCCTCCGACAGTAACTTACTCCCACCACCTCCCTTGCACACTGCGCCCCCACCCCTCCTTCCCCGGCCCCCACTTACAGGCTTACCTCCCTGCAGCTCCGATAGCAGCAGCTAAGCAATGATTACTGCATTTCAATCCCAGTCCCTGCACGCGCATTGTGCCCTCCCTACCCCCTCACCCCTCTGTCCTTCATCCCCAAAGGAAAATAATAAATAAAAATAAATGCGGCGGCGACAGACCTGGTCTTTCTGGGGAGGGAGAGGGAGGAAGCAGAGAAGCTTAGTCTGTTGTAGTTTCTTTTCTCCCTTCCTTCCCGCCCCCACCCTACTCCATTTCTCCAAGCTGAGCTGACTTAGAAGATCAATTCTGATGACGGGGATGACGAAGAATACCCGGTGGGTGATGCATGTGACAGTGGACCGGCGAGGCCCGCTGTCCACTCCAAGGCAACTGGGCTGGCGGGGCGCGGAGGGTAGAGAAGAGTGCCTAGTGCACGAAGTCCAGAGGCCTGGGACACAGGGCTGGGCAGGGGACGGCTGTCTCCAAGGGACAACTAGGCGGGGGTGGTCCGGCCACGGCCAGCAAGAGATACTTCAAGTGTCTCACTTGGGAAAAAACGCCTAGAAAGGAGTACAGTTCTGGACCGATATGGAGGAGGGGGTGGCGGCAACGAGCAGCCCCCAAGCCACACATTTAGGGTCGGGGAAGGAGGAGGCAGGGAAGGGGGTGCGGTGCGGTGCACAAGTCTATCTCTCAGACTTGACCGACAGACACGCCCTCGGGCGAACATTTAAGGGGGGGGTAGAAATAGCATACGTACATTTGGCCCCGAGATAGTTGCATGCATGAAGGTTCCCCCCACCCACGCATCGTCTGTGCAGCGAAGTCTGCAGCCGCCGCTCCCCCACCACCTTTCTCTTGCGCTATGAGAAGTTGCAAAGCAAAACCCACCCTCCCTTTCTCAGGTCCCCCACCCGAGTCGAGTTGGAGCCGCAGCGGCGGCGGCGGCAGCAGCAGCAGCAAGAGAAGAGGCGTCGCCTGCCAAGTTCAACCTCCACCCCTCCCATCGCTCTCACTTAAAGGAAGTTACAAGCCAAATGAAAAAAAAAAAACCCACCCTCCAGCACGCTGCACTTTTGGAGTGGAAAGAAGAGGCGTGGGGGAGTTGCATGTGAAACAGTGACTTGCACCGAGAATGGCAGGCCCCTCCACCTCTTACACACATAACCCACATCTAATCTCCCCTTCAGCACCAGTCCCAGCCCAAATTGCAAGCCGGGGCCCCTCCCCTCAATTACGGTGGTGACATCTGCTAGACCTTGCACTTCGCAACACTACTGACCCTTCCCCTTCCTCTCTCCTCACGCGTCCCTCCTCCCCTCCACGGGCCCCTGACACAAAATCTTTTCAAGTTTCTGCAAAAAAACTCCTTGCAATAGTTCCCGTAAGACAGTCCCCCAACCCCCGAAAGGTCTAAGTGAATCACGTGTTTAACTAGAGGGGAAGACGGCCCAAAGACCCCCACACCTCCCGACACGCTCCCCAAGTGGGGCGGAATCCTGCTCCCCCTCCCAGGGAGTCGGCTCCCGCCCCGTCCAGTAGAGAGCGATAAAAGAATCCAGCCTTCTACCCCGGGTGCCAGTTATCGTAATTATGGTTATGATTTGTCTTTGTGTGCACGCGAGGTGATATGCCGGTCCCTGGGGTGACAGCGGCGCGGGAAAAGTATGTGTGGAGAGGCCCCCGCTGGAACACTCCCGGCTCCCAGGACTCTGGCACCCGGAGCAGTGAGAAGCTGTCACTTCAGGCCTAGCCTTCGCCCCCGTCATCCCCCTCCCCCTCCCGATATCCTGACCAGGGATTGGGGAGCTTGCCGGAAGCTTCCTGCCGCCATCTTGGTAAAGTAAACTTATGATCCCCGAGCCTTAGAGTCCGTATTGGTCCACGGAGTACTCTCAAGCAGGAGTTAAATACTTTCATTTAGGAGTTTAGATGAAACGTGTCAACCAAAACCTTTGTCACTAAAGAGACCTTGAACAAACGGTCTTGGCGGAGAAGACTCCCGCTGGATGCCCCTCCCATCCCCTTAACGTTGCCCTTAGTAGACGCTGTTCGCCATCTTGGTAAAGGTTGAGGGCAAAGGTGCATGCGTAGACCACGTCCTGGCCAGAAACTGACCCAGAGTTATGTTTGAAACTTGTACGTAGAGCACTAGTGTCAAACTCACATAGAAACTAGGAATCACTAAACCGTACATGCAAAGGCAGTCCCTTTGGCCGCATATTGAATTAGAAAAGCACCCATTTACGTTATGTTCTACTGGATTTTTATTTATTTTATTAAATATTTCCCAATCACATTTTAATACATATCTGATAACGAGTAAATGTAGCTCGATGATCATGTTTGACTGGTTATTGTCCTTGGGTCTCGAAGAGGACCAAAATGACATTACTATGCTAGAGTCAACATACAGTGTGTCTGGTTGTGGCTGATCAGACCAATACAAACTCGGCAATTTTCTGCCACAGGTCAGGCACAAATAGTCCATGTGAACATTTGGGGTGGATTCTCTAAATTTACACATCTCTCATTTCTTTTGAGCTACTTCAGTTCTGCTTTGCTTATAGATCGCAGCACCTTCTCTGATAAGGGCATGCCATGCTGGGCAGTCCTGTGCCAGTGTCCCCCATGTAACACAATCAATTCCAAAGTTCTTAAGAGAGACCTTGATAGTGTCCTTGTCTGGCTTCTTCTGACCACCATGTGAACACTTGCCTGTGTGAATTCTCCATAAAATAATCTTTTTGGCAAGCATAAGTTTTTTGCTCTTTGCAGTAGAGTTTGAATACCTGGCAGTTTAGTTCTAGAAAGGAACTTAGTGTCTGGTAAGTTAACCTGCCAGGTGATCTTCAGAATCTTCCTAAGATAATTCAAATGGAAGTCATTCCGTTTCTTTGCCTGTTGGTGGTATACCCTCCAGGATTCACAGGCATACAACAATGAGCACAACCAGCTCTGTAGACCTTCAATTTGGTATCTCTAATGCAGAGTGCCTACCCTGTAGGATGGGGAACAAAACTCAAGAGTTTGGGGTGAGGGGCTACCCACTTGGCAAAACTAAAGCAGAAAGGAGATATTGTGTTTTGTCCAAAGGCTGCACAAGCAGTAAGTAGTAAGGGAGGATTAAAACCCATACCCTCTAACTCCAGAGCTAGTACTTATCACTGTATCCCATTGCCTCTCCAGGTAACAGCCAAAACAAATTTAAATACATTCACATACCAAAATAAATCAAAATTGTAAAGGAATGGGAAGATTGAGTAGGGGTAGAGAAGAGAGAAGCAGAAGAGGAAAAAAAAATCCAGTCATTCCAATGTTGAAAAAGCAAGAACATTTGAGATAATGAGATTGTTCATTTAATTGGGTGGCAAAGCATATTATGAACTTTCAGGGGCAGCTAGATGGCTAAATGAATAGAATACTGGGTTTAGAATCAGGAAGACTGATCTTCCTGAGTTCAAATATGGCCTCAAACACTTACTAACTGTGTGACCCTAGGCAAGTCATTTTAACCCTGTTTGCCTCAGTTTCTCATCTATAAAATGAGCTGGAGTAGGAAATGGCAAACCACTCTACTATGTTTGCCAAGAAAACTCCGAATGGGATCATGAAAGAATGGGACAGGACTTTTTAAAAAATGACTCAACAACACAAATAATCTCTTTCCAAAGATGTTCTGAAAAACTTACACAGTTTTTCATCTCCTAATTTTTCGACATTCAAGGTCATGAGATTTAGAGCATGAAAGAACCTTAGAAGTCAGCATACCATATAGAGTAATGAATTTGAAGTCAGAAAGACCTGGGTTTAACTCCTGGCACTGACTAGCTGAGTAGCCATGTGATCAAGGGTACAGTTTCCTCATCTGTGAAATTAGGATAATAATAATAGGTATTTACCTACCTCACAGAGTTATTATAAAGTTCTAATGAGATAATACATGTAAAGCTTAACAAACCTTAATGAGCTACATAAACATTAACCATTATTGGTTTCAGAGATTTAGAGATCATCCAGTTCAAGTCCCTAGTGGGGAAACTAAAGCCCAGAGAGTTGAAATGATCAAAGTTTGCACAGTGAATAATCACAAAACTACAGAATTGTCTCTTTATCAGACTCAACACTTATTTTCCTACTTTTGTTCATATCAGTATTAATACCTGACTTAGAGTTCTCTCCTTCCATATCTGACTATTGGAATCCTCTCCTTCAAAGGTCCATCTCAAATGCTCTATGGTTGTCCCCACTTGGAAGTAAATACTTTCCTTTGTCTTCCCATAGATGGTATTTTTCAGTACCTGGGACTGCTAGAAGGGACATTTTTATGGGGAAACTGAGGCTCAAAAAAGTTAAATGATTAGCCCAAGGTCAACATGAACTAGGCATCTCACAACTAGGTGATATAATACAGTGTAATCAATATTTGTATGGGCTAACCAAAAACACAGTAATAATTTGTTGAATATAGTTGGAAAGAACAGTTATAGAATTCATTGTAATATGATCTTTGTAATAGGACTGCTTAAAAAAAATACTATTTCCCATCACTCTGAAATACTTGCTTTGCCACCCAATTAAATGAACAATCTCATTATCTCAAATGTTCTTGCTTTTTCAACATTGGAATGACTGGATTTTTTTTTCTTCTTCTGCTTCTCTCTTCTCTACCCCTACTCAGTCTTCCCATTCCTTTACAATTTTGATTTATTTTGGTATGTGAACATATTTAAATTTGTTTTGGCTGTTACCTGGAGAGGCAATGGGATACAGTGATAAGTACTAGCTCTGGAGTTAGAGAGTATGGGTTTTAATCCTCCCTCTACTGCTTACTGCTTGAGCAGCCTTTGGACAAAACACAATCTTTCTGAGCCTCAGCCTCTGCATTTATAAAATGAAGACGCTGGGTCAGATGACATGTAAAGTCTAGCTATGAGGTTATGAAAATAACAAATTAAGATTTTTTACTTAAAATTAATCATTTTCCATTAAAGAACTTTATAAGTATTTTTTCCCATTTCATTAGTTTTTCTAGAAGAGGGCTTGAAATTTCTTTCAGATTACTAATGATCCAGAAAACACTTTCTTACTGAGCTATTTGTGATTACACTGATTAAAGAAAAGAGTATTACCTCCTATATAAAATGAAGACATTGGTTTATAATCTCTGGGGTCCATTACCGCTCTACAGTCTATGATCATAGAAACCTAAGTTTGTTACTTTTGGAATTTGATATGATATCATTGGTTTTTGTTGTTGTTGTTTTTTGCAATGAGTTCAATCTGTGAAGAAATTGTGGATTAACCTAGCATCTTTCTTTAAGATATTATAAAGTGTTATAAAGGACAGCATGGTGTAGCAAAAACCGCTGACTAGCTTCAGAGGGAAGAAGACTTGTGTTCAAGTCTTCACATAGGGGCTGTATGACCTTAGTTATTCAACCTCTCATTACCCCAATATACTTTCTACAATTATAAGTTGCAGAGAAAGTGTTGCTATGCATGGTAGAGGAAGTTCTTCATCTGATATGCTGTTCACAGATGAAGTCATAGATCTGGTCAAAAATAACAACAATAATAATATCCTGATTGCCATACTGGAGAGCAAGCAGGTTTCTAGAAATGTTAGACTTTCCTTGATGATCTTATAGCCACTTCATTATCTCTGGCTAGTAATATTTATTCTAAATCCTTATTCTCTTGGTCCTGGGCTGAGCAGATGCTACACTTTTGAGCTCAAAGAGTCTTAGGATTAAACACAACCAAGAATTATTTTGCCTATTTCAGTGCAACAACATATTCAATGAATTCCTGGCAATTTTTCCTTCACAATGTTTTTCTCATCCAGCTCCTTTCTGTTTCCATCAATGACAGCTGATTCCAAGTCTATCTCTGGACCTTCTTTCTGCCCAAGATCATATTGTTAGTAAGTTAGTTTTGAACTCAGTTTTTTTTACTCCTGTCAAGGATTCTTATGTTCTTCTTAAAATTTTCCTCACTTTAATTGTCAGGCCCCTATTTTAGAATTTACAAAACTCTCTATTAGTAAAGCATCAAATCCACTGGATTTGACAAGACCTTGACATTCAAGATCTTCCATTTTCCATCACTCCACTGTTCAAACCTTCCTCTCAGAATGTTCAGATTGCAGTAGTGACCTTCTGCACGTGATACTGATATTATGACTACCATGCATTTGTTCACAATAATGCCCTAACCTCTACCACACTAGTTTATCTGCTATGAAATACTGTATTTGGAGGAAGAGACAGGGGGTTTCAGTTCTGACTCTGCTACTTGCTACCTGTGTGATACTAGGCAAGTAATTTAACCTCTCTGGGCCAGGTCATAGAAGTGTAGATTCTGTAATTGTAATTGTAGAGCTAGAAGAGGGAAAGGAAAAGGGAATGAAGGAGCATTTATTAAGCCCCTACAATATGCCAGGCACTGTGCTAAGCACTTTCCAAATATT